AGAAGATGTGCTGGGCTGCTCTTAGGTCGAGATATCTGTAGTTTCCTTTCCCTGGAAACCCTGAAGATATGATTCCAAAAGGGAAAAATGAGGATACAAATGTGTTTCAGCTCATTCCTCATTCTCTTGCCATGAAAAAATAAGGGGGAGAGGTGAAGAATGAAATAAGATTTCTTCATGTGAATATTATTTCAATTTAAAAAATTACGTTATTATAGGCAGCTACAAATCTAGAAGTATTGTAAATTAATTTTATTCCAGTACAAAGTACTGTGTCGTGTTGATGATTCTCTAATAAATATTATCTTCTTGCACAGCTTTTTTGTTCCCCGTAAATATGATTTTAAGTTTTAAGATCTAGATTTCAAATAGCATTCTATTCTATCTATAAGGCCTGTGAAAATTTTTACAATCCAATGATATAAGTACATTTTATTTTCAAAAAGTTAATTCCCCTATTTAATAAGTTAAGGGAGGGTCCTCCACACATAGCTGTACTTAGTTACATCAGCATCATTGCAGCACATCAGATGCAAAAAATAAACTCAGAGAAACTGCTTTATACATGTTCTCAAACTATACTTTTCACTCTAGAAGATAAAGGCTAATTTTTCAATGGCACAGTTTTAGAACATGCTTTTGCTTTCCAATTTTCATTTACAAAGGGTTTTTTTATGCCTTCAGAAAATAGAAAACCTTTCTTAATCCAGAAAAGTGTCCCTGTGAGATTTGGAATAATGTTTGTCAGCTGATATTATTCATATATATGAAAGAATGGGCTTAGTTATTATCTGTGCTTCAATCTGCTCTTTCAAAAAAGGTCCCAGCAATTACCAGGTTAGTAAGTTCATCTTTCCAGTTGCCTTCAAGTGTTGTGGTTTTAAGTGCTTGTTTGAATGCAAGAACTGTGTTCCTTCACTGCGTGAACAGTATCACACTGTGAGATTTACAAGCAAGCAGCTTAATACTTTCCCCAGTATAGTCTTGAAGGTATTTCACTTCCTTTATTTTCCTTCTTTAGTAAATAAGGCTGCAAGTTGCAAATCTGAGTGCTTGAAATTAGACTTTCAGGTCTTACTGAGGCTTTTAAATAGCAGCATTCAGATTTTCAGAAGTGAATCTGGGTTTATTTTGGAAGCCTACAGAATGTATTGGAACAATAAGTTTAAGAACCTAGCTTAGACACTTTTTTAACCTCTGTTTCAGGGTTTGTACTGAGGTGTTTTCTTGGGATGAAGGGGGAGGTATTTGCTCCTCTTGCTGCTTAAACAGCAGCAAACTCTAAATTAAACTGGTTTTATATATAAAGAGTTGGAGCCTTTGCTTTCTTCCATGATCACTGAGTATAGCTGTCAGATCCTAAATTGCCCTTAATTTATTTTACATCGTTAAGTTATTCTGTGCTTGAGTGTCAAAACGGGGTAAACTGCTCGGAGCGTGTGAAACGAATTTTTCATTCTCTTTAAATTAATAATGAAGCTCGGATGATTCAAATATGAAACATATTAAAAAAATAGTTCTCACCCTGTAAAACTGCTGTTTCACCTCTCTCTTAAGATCACATTGCTTAGAAACCCATGACAGATGTTCCTGTCCTACCTCCTTTTGGGCTGCTGTGCAGTGCAGAGACTCTCAGCAGAAAGTGGCTGTGCAGAGGCTGATCCAGGTTGGAGGGTGCTCCTGGACTGTGGGCCAGGGATGTGTGTGCAGAGGCAAGAGAAGGCATCCTGTGTTTGGCTTCACAGCTGTAGAAATGGCTCAAAAAGGCCTGGTTTGGAGCATATAATGGGAGCCATCCCTATGCATCTACAGCTGCCCATGCTGCGTGGTCTTGCAGCATTTCTCCCTGCCAGCGCTCTCTCTGATGGAAAATTTATGGTTGTGGTTGTGCTGTGGCTGGATCAAAATAATATTCCTTCATAAACAAGGAAAACATTGTTTATTTAAGTAAGACTTCCAAAAGAATGTGAAGAAATTGTAGCCACTGCACTTGGATTTAATTGCAAACAGGTGCCTTTAATAACAGGTTATGGCATCATTTAGTCAGGTTAAACCCCACTTTGCTGTGCCAGGGTGAGATTGGCTCATTGCACCAGGAAGAAGAGATTTGCCAAGCTCCTGGAGCTCCAAAGCCTGAGTCATAAAAGCCCTTAATGTTTACATTATCAGTGCTGGGTTTTTATGGCCAAATGGGGTTACACAAGTAAAAGTAATTGAAGCATCACAGACTGCTTTTGGACGAGTCCAGCGTATACCGGAAATATCTAGATAACATTTATTTCATTTTAAATATAAAGGTATTTATTTCATTTTTCTCCATGCCTGTCCTGTTTGTCACAGTAAGAAGGCTCATGACACCATTGTCCTCCTGTATCACTTCAGCTGGTGAAAAATGCTGCTGCTTAGACAAACAACTTTTTGCCTGTGAGGTTGCTTTGTTGGATTCATTTCTGGTGGGTTTGCAGTGGATCACTGGATGTAGGAGAAATGAGCCCAGCAGAACTCTGAACCCTATTGGGCACCCAAATGGGCCAGAAAAAAATAATTTGAAACCAGCCTGGATTAGCTCTACCATTCACCAGACTGTTTGTTGTGGTTTAAGATATGGAGGATTACAGCAGTCAGGCCATTGGGTCAGACAGGAAACAAGTTTCAGTCTTGGAGTTGAAGGGAAAACTGGTTTTCCTGCCTCTTTTCTTTCCTCTTTCATCTGATTGGCATTGTCCCTCCCCCTTCTTTGAAATTAAAACTTTTTAAAAGCACTTTTTCTATAGATTGATATTAATGGAGAAAAAAGTTTGGAGTTGTTCATTTGAAAGAGTCAATAAGCTGAAGGGAAGGAGTGTTTAAGTTACCTTCTACCTGAAATTCTGATAGATTTTTAACACTCCCCCTCACCAAAATTAGGGAAATTAAGAAGTCTTAGAGGGAAGTCCTTTCACAGAGAGATAATTCCTTAAAATAGACAGGGGAGTCAGTGCTTGGTAACTGCAGCAGATGGTGTTTGGCAGTAGTGTTCCAAGGGTTCTGCACTGTTTATGAGAATGTATATAAATGGTTTTGGAAAGGGAGGAGAGCAGTGAGGTGACTAAGTTTGCTGTTGATACACAATTATTCAAGGTAGTGAGGATGAAGGCAGACTGTGAAGAATTACACAAGGATCTGAAGAGACTGTGTGACTGGGCAATAAAATAGCAGCTGAAATTCAGTGTAGATAAATGTGAAGTGATGCATGTGGGGAAAAACAATCCTAGCTTCACATATAAAATGATTGGCTCCAAGCTGTCTGTTGCCACTCAGGAGTGAGACCTTGGGCTATGATGGATAGTTCCATGAAAACATCAGCCTGTGCTTGACAGCAGGCTAAAAAGCAAATCAAACTTTAGGAATTATGAAGAAAGGACCAGAGAACAAAAGAGATAATGCCATTATGCAACCATATAAATCTATGGCTCCCCTTTACCTTGGGCACCACAAGTGGGTCTGACTTGCTAATCTCCATGAGGATGCATTAAGATGGGAAGATTCAGAAGTGGGAGAGGAGTGTGTGTGCAAAGGGCTGAGTAGGCTGGGACTCTCTTGTCTGGGGAAAAGTCAGCCAAGGATGGTTAATGATAGGTTAAGAAAAAATGTGATTGGGTAGAGAGGGATGGATCTGTCATCGCCTCTTTCAGCACAGGAGTTAAGGGCCATTGAATGAAGCTTGTGCAAACTGATTGAGAGCAGGTGAAGGCATCTCTTTCAGAAGGGAATAATGTACCTTGCTAAAGCTGTGCAGAGGGTCTGGGGGAGAACGGACAAATAATTGGATGAAATGCCAGGTCAAGGAGGGCCAGATGTAGAAACCCTAACAAGCTTGAGAAATCTCTTGAAAAAATGCTGGAGACTGCAAGAGCTTTGTTGGAAATACTGTACATGTTTGTCCTGTAGTTTCAGTTGTGACTGCCTTTGCTCTCTGCTTGAGACTGGTAAGTGGATTTGAGAGAGCAGGGTCTATAGACTGACTCTTTGAGCCCTGTCAGAGATCTATGAGGGGGATGCAAGCAGACAATTCATACACCAATTGCAGGCTACTGGGACTTCGATTTCTCGTTATCCAATACTGAGTGCAAAGATCATTACAGAGAAAGGACTCTGATAGCACAGCAAGCCTGTTACTCCAGTCTCATGTAGTCTTAATGTTAATGCATCTACAAGTGCTTGCAGTGCAAATTCAAATGTGATTGATGCTGGAATCTCTGAGCATATATCAGTAGCAGGAAATTAATTCCTTGTGAACAGGAGTAGTGTTCAAGGAAATCAGAGTTTCTGAAGTTATGCAAGAAGGTATTCACAGATAGAAATCAAAGATTTTGGTAAGACCCCCCTCCAAATGTATAAATATGTAGATAAATATATTTTTGGCAAAAAATAATAAATGCATCCTCCTTCATGCATTTAATTTTTTTCTAAAGTCAGTCATCTGTATTGACTGCACGTATTACTGCATATAAGCATTCATTTCACTACATAATTATTCAATTAGAGAGATCAAGTATTGCTCAGTCAATTCCAATAAATTGAATACTATCTAAGAATTGTAGATCAAGCACTCATTTCCTTACCTGTTTCCTAAGGAGTGCTGATTTACATGAATGGTGCTGCTTAGGATTGAAGAGAAATCTGACTGAGGGATGAGAACAACAAAGTAGCCTGATGTGTATAGCAAACATTGTGGATGTGACAGCCTGGTCAGAGAGCAAGAAAAGTGGTTAAGTTTTCCAGAATCAGCTTGTGAGGCTTTAGGGAGTTGAAGAGAAACAATGATAGCTTGTTACTATCAACAACCTGCAGGTGTTGCTTTCCTACTCTCTGTTTTTTCTCAAAGATTGTTTATAAGAAAGGTGTTTTGTTAATTAACCAGTCAGGTGAAATGTATTAACTAATTGACCAATCTGGCCTATCTGTATCAGAGCAGTGTGTAAAAAGAGAGAATTGGCAGTAAGGTGAGCTGCTGAGCAAACCAGCCTTCTGGGGAGTCTGTGCTGTTTCTTACTTAACAGTGACAAACATGACAATGCAAGTTTTAGGAAGATGGAGAGGGAGCAAGGATGATGTGCAATGTGTGTAAAGCCTGTGAAACAGTAGCTGAGGTGAGTAAGGAGTGTTTTCTTGAATCTGCCTACTAGTTTTTTTCAATATTACGCCTTTTTATGCAAATCAGAATGTGCCTGTTGAATAAAATGGAGATAAATACTAAATTCACCATTTCTTTTGTGTTGGCTGCTGCAAAAATTATGAAAGCTGTGTGGAGTGGATATTAGATGTGCATGGAAAGAAGAAAGGGCTGAGCATCAAACATAAAAAGGTACAGTTGATCTAAAATTCCTTACCCTGATGGAGAGGGAAGGACTTTGGTTCTGCAGCCTCTCTAGAGACTCCTTCTTCTGCTTTGTTCTCACAGTGAAGGATATGAGGACGTGTCAAATTAGAGTTTAGCTTGTTAAAACCTGTGCCCATTGCCTGGAAAGAACAGATAGTTGCATGACAAATGTGATTACAAGAAGGACTAGATGTTTCTGCTTAGGACGATAAATAAGTTCCTCCTATGGTTTTAGTGACGGGAAAACTTAAACCTGCAGTGGCATGCTTTGCCTAAACTTAATGATCAATGTCTGTCTCCATGTGTCCTGTACCTGTGACATGTACTCTTTCCAAACTGGTTGGTAACATAGAAGATGTTCCACATCCACCGGCTCATGTAGGAGCCAGTAGAACAGGTGTTCCACCTAGCAGGTTATGTGCTCTCTGGAAAACCCTGACCACATATGTCATGGTCTTCTGGCTCTGAACTATTTTATCAGCTCTGAATTGTAGAATGTCTATATTTTGCTGGGTTGTTTGTACTGGATGATGCAGATGTGATAACGTTCATGTGAGCCTAGGTTTCACGTGTTGATCAGCAATACTGGCATGGCTATGGTGCATTCTTCTTTTTGGAAAGGTGATAATGGACATTTAAATAGCTTTTGTGCTACTAAAGGTAATAAGATAAATTACTAGAAGTCTGTTTCATTTTCTCGACCTTTCTACTTCCCAGTATAAATAGATGCAGATGCTCACCCAGTCATATATAGACCAGTTTAACTGGAGTATGGTAGAATTCCCATCATCAAAAGTTGTCAGCTCAGGACTGAGTACGAATCTGAATGCTTTTAGTTTCATCTGGAGTTTCTTATTCCCACTTGATGGTCCCTGATTGCCTTTTGGCAGGGCCAGAGGTTTGTAGCCAAAAACCAAAAAGGCTTAAAACAAAAGGCTCTGATCTCCCAATGATAAACTCTTCTGAGCAGTTTATAGCACTATGTCACAGCTGGTGAGTTGAGTTTGCAGCTTAAACTATTTTGTTACAAGGCGAATCCTCTTCATATTTCAAAACTTTCACTGTAAGTTTTGAAATGTCATATAGGTCTAGGATAAAGCAAAATTTAAAGAATAAACATTATTAATATTTCTTTTATTTTTGTGATTAAAAGTACTACTCTGCAGTAGCATAAAGTTTTTTCTTCCATTTTCTTGGATAAATTTTTCTTTTAAAGTAATAGTTTGCCCAGGTCTGCCTGTGTTATCACTGTATTTCACAGTACTACTCATGGAGCAGCACTTCAATTTCTCGTTTTTTGTTCTACCTATAGAACAAGGACCTCAGTTCACTTTCTTGACCCCTTGATTAAATATTTCTGGAACAGAGACAATGTCCTCAGTCAGCCCTTTAATATTTCTAAGCTTTAATTGATTAAACTTATACCAATCCTTGTAGAAACACACCTTCAAAAGAGATAATTTTGGATATCAGATGGGCCTGATACTTTGTTCTGCATTTGCTGGGTTGCATCATCTCATTGCAGTTTGTGACAAAATTCATGGTCCAAATTCAAGGTACTCTCAATCACTCTGAAAAGTCAAGTTTCCTTGTGTTCTGTATATGGTTCTGCTGAGTAATACAAGCTAATTAACAGCTGTGGAGTGCTTTAGTTAGGCCACTTCTGTGTTCACAAAATATGTTCACAAAATTCAAAACTTTTACTCAAGCTAAGGTCCCAGGAAAGATAAGAGGAAAAAAATGGTTTCCCAGAGCTACTGTATTTCCCCATAGAATTAAAATTAAACTTATGGCTCTTACAGCATAGTGAAGAAATCGGAATGATCCATGTGAAAATGAAATAGTAATGTACCACCTCTCCTTACTTTGTTCTCCAGAAGTTCCTCATGTTTGAACAAGAAACATGAGAAAAAATCTTGCATGAACAGAAAGTGAGATTGGGAGGGCCGGTGGATTAGCAGCATTCAGTCATTTGAAAACATATGGCTTCCCAGAGCTACTGTATTTCCCCACAGAAGTAAAATTAAACTTATGGTTCTTACAGCATAGTGAAGAAATTGGAATTGGAATGGAATCACCTGTCCTTACTTTTTTCTCCAGAAGTTCCTCATGTTTGACCAAGTAACATGAGAAAAAAATCTTGCATGAACAGAAAGTGAGATTGGGAGGGCCGGTGGATTAGCAGCATTCAGTCATTTGAAAACATAACTAGAGATGCACTTTCTTTTGATTCTAGAAATTCAAATATGTTTTTCTTTCTCAGTTTAATGGTGGTTTACTTGATGCATGTGGTGATGAATACAGTAAAAGACTCTTACTTAGAAAATGGCTTCATGGAGCTGCCAATATTTTATGAAGAATGAATCCAAATTTTGGTCAGATCTGTCACTGGAGTATTGCTGAATATTGCTATATAAGACAACTGATGCTGACCCATTAGGAGATATACTGAGAGGCCTGTGTGTGCATGGAGAGTGCCTCTTTGATTAATAGTCCTGCTGCAAGTGTGACATATCTGTGCTGCTGTGTAACTTTTCCTGGATGCTAGACACTTATGTTTAATGATATTTGCCACTTCAATAGCAGGAAAAAGATTGAGATGATCTTAAATTGCTTTCCTTAGTGTGTGCAGTGTAGACAAGGAAATGAAACATTAATTCAGTGGGAGGTGGTGGGTTTTTTTGTCTTTTGTGTGTGAAACAGGGGCTCTGGCTTTAGCTCAGCAGTGCGCATGTGGGCAGGTCAAATTAAATATTACTGGTGTGCCCAGCCATGCCCTGTCTGGGAGGGGGCTGTCTCTGTTCTGGGCAGGGTAAATCCCCTGTATACAGCCTCAGGACAGTCCTGGACAATTATGGCACTTCTTTACATCAGAAAACATTCCTATAAGTTTAGAGCAATCCCCAAAAACCTGGGATCCGTACAAACTCAGAACTCAGGCAACAGTTTAAGGGCTTTTGGGGCTCTTCACCCAAAACCTGTTACTATCCATTATTGCCTGTACAGCCCGAGGCCTCGGAAAGGATCGTTTTGGAAATGATACCTTTAAAAAGACGGCATTTTCGCCCCGCTCCCGGGAAGGATGCGGTGCCCAGGGGCTCGGCTGCCACCTACCGCCCGCTGCTCCGCGGCCGCTCCGGCGGGATGCGCTCCCGCCCAGCGCGGCGGAACGGGGCAGAACGCGGGGCTTGAGCCACCGCCTGAACTCACAAATTAAATATCACTGGTGGTTTACAGTCTGTCCATTCCCGGCGTAAGAGATGCTGAAGAACTTGAGACATGTTTAGCGTATGGAGCCGGTAAAAAGTTGAAGCAGCTCCGCATTTGAATTTCAAAGGCAAGAAAGTTAAGCAAAGGAGAAAGCTTGATTTAGAAGGCTCTTGGAGTTTAAATGAAAATACAGGTTTTCATAGGTTATTTTAGCACCTAGCAGTTTTTTAGCGGGGTCTGCCAGTTAATTTTCAGCCAAGCATTAATTCCGGGTGAAGGGGAAAACGGAGAAGCTGTTTTCTGCTCACAAAAGGTCCCCATCCTGCCTCACACAGGTCTGCCTGCTCTCATGGGGATCTCGCACTCATCTGGGAACACCACTGGAGTTCTGAAATGCAGGACTCCAGTGCAGTCTTGAAATCCTGGGAATCACTCTGCTCATTTCAGACCCTTTTCATGGCAACATTTGTGAGGAAAAAAAACCCCAAAACCTGAAAACCAAACCCATACAAATGTCAAGAACAACCCAATCTATAATCTACAGACCTTAGGGACATCCAGAGCTGTTGGTGTCACTTGGTGCTCTCCAGTAATTATAACAGATATTGCCCAGAAAACACTGGGCACATGCAGATCACATGAGGTAAATGATAAGCATGAGGAGCTAACTGTATTGCTGTATTAACCTTTACTAATGAGATCCAAATACGAGGTGAAATAAAGTTGCTTCAGAAAAAATACAGGTGTTGTCACCATAAACTACATACAAAGGAGATTGGATGTAATTGTCTTGTTGATAGTGAGCAGGTTCATCTTCAGTTTATATTTCTTTTCACATTTTAAGAGCCAGTATTGGAAAATGGATTTAATTCCTGTGAAAACCTTTCAGTCTGTCCATAAATAAGAGCTTATTCTCACTACGTTTATGATGATGTGATTCTCCCTGCTATGATGCTGGGAAAGCAGGCTAAGCTCCTGTGCACGAAGTTCAGTCAGAGCCCTATCGGTTATTTCAGGAGTAAAGGAAAACCTATTTAATGCTTCCCAAAGAGTTAACCATTAGGGCCTTGTCCATAGAGACAAATCAGCAGTGTCTTTGTAGGGCTAATGTCACCCAACTGAGCAACAGAGAAAGAGATCCTAGGATTTAGGCAACTGATCAAATTACAAAGATAATGAATGACTGCCATGTGAAGTGAGCCATTTATACATTATTCTGAGTTTAAAATTCCTTTAAGTAGATTTCTTGGAGAATGGCAAAAATCCAGCACTCTTCTAATAATTGTGACCTGTATGTGGGCTTTCCAGGAACCCAGAAATGTATGTACTGTGCCCATTGAATTCAACTCAATGAATAGATGAGCTAGCTGTGCTTGTAACTTTGGGAAAACATTATCTTTTGTTTGGTTGTCTGGAGCCCCTGTAAAGGTAGATGTTATTTTAATGATTAAGAGAAAATACTTTTTGATTTGATAATGTTAATTTGCGTATTAGAAAACAAATAAAACTTCTCTTTGAGAGGACAAGTGGGAAAACTTGATGACCTTTAAAGTTTCTTTT